AAGCTTCTGAGTTTTGCTTTGCGACACTTCCAGGTCAAATTGTTAATGTATCCTCTCTTTCCACCGAGGATGTTTAACACATTTCACATTTTTCATATATCACATGTTAAGTTCTTCGATCTTTCTTTAGAATTTCCATCCTCCTCCCTTACCATCTCCTTCACATACTGTTGGGCCTCAAAAGCCAACTAAAAGGTTTTAGCATGAAATCATAGGCAGAATTTGGAATAGAAATATTATTATAAACTGAATAGAATAAAAATGTAACATAAGGCTATAAGACCTCTTAGTTTAATCACCATTTACTCTGTTCTGGTTCCTCATTTTCTCTAGTAATGGTTCAAGCAAAGTAAAGTACTTTTCATAGATACTCATTAATCTAAATGAATGTTCATAAGTAACAAGGAGGAAAAGACTAGAGGAGGATAGGGGAAGAAAACATCTGTTGAGAATCTATAATTGTGCATGGCATTTAGTTAGAAATTTTGGGAGTATTGTAGATAAAAACACAGGCAACAGAGGCAAACTGTCTAGGTTTGAATCCTAGCTCTGCCAGAATCCTGTCACTACCTGTATGGCCCTGGGCAAGTTACTTACTTACTCCTCCGGACTTCAAGCTCCTCATCTGTAAAGGAGGGATAATAATAGGGCAAAATTTATAGAATAGTTGTGATGATTATAGATGATTATATGAGTTCATATGTGTCAAGTCCTATAACAGTGGTTGGCTTACAGTCAATGATATAAGCATTAGCTAATTATTTTGATTGCTGGTTTTATTATATATCATTTGGTTTTAGTGCACAACAACCTTACTCTTAGATGGTTATTATCAGCCGTAGCCCCTCAGTTAGAGCGTCCTCCCCATACACCAAGGTTGTGGGTCCGATCTCCCATTTGGGCACATACAAGAATCAATCAATGAATGCATCAGTAAGTGGAACGACAAATCGATGTTTGTTTTTTTTCCCTCTCTCTCCCTTCCTCTATTTCTCTAAAAATCAATTTAAAAGAACATGGTTATTATCATCTGCATTTTACTGAAGAGGAAACTGGAGTGCACCAAAGTTAAGTAAACTCACCATGCATATTAAACTCACAGTTAATAAATGATGAGTCAGACTGGCCTCCAAACCCACTGAAGGGAAATGAGGACTGATGTGTTAGCTCTGGGAAGCTTTAAAAGGGCCTTTCCTCCCTTGTTAACCATCACTTAGTTCCTGCCCCTTTCCTTTGTCACTTTGTTGTCCCCTTCTAATTTCAACATTAACGACATTTTGCAAAATAAAAAATAAAAAATAAGAGGGAAAGTTGTTCCACTTCTCACCATAACAATCTCACTGAACTTACAGTATTTTATTCTTATTGCCTCCTTCAAGGTCTCCTCCAGTATTTCCTACTGATATTTCTTCCTCTCACAGATTCCTATAGCATTTATGACCTGAACTAAAGTGCTAGAAGATTGTCTTATGTGCGATCTAAAGCACTAAACTGCACACACCTCAACATATAAATTTTTGATAGTAAGTAGGTTATCAGAGTTCAGCTTTTAAAAACTCATGATGAGCTCCATACTTTCTTGAAGGTTCTCCTTCCGTATCCTTCCCCAATTGTCTTTTCAAATTGACTCTGAGACTGAATTGAGTCAAAGCTCAATCCATTCTAAGATTTGTAACTTAGTTGTATTCATGCCATATAATTGACATTGCATCCATATCAATTTCCTGATGCTGATAACATATTGTGATTATGTAACAAAGATGTTATCATTGAGGGAAGCTAGGTGAAGGTTACAAAAGAACTCTCTGTACTGTTCTTGCAACTCTGACAATTTTCTAAAAATATTTCAAGATAAAAAATTGGAAAAACCAAGCATTCTGCTGGAACAAAAACTATCACTGGGTAATTTCTAATTGTGAGTCATACATGCCCAACAAAACACTATACAGTCCCTGAAAACAAGGACAGTCATATAGTTCTCTGAGCTTTTCCCACAATTACTAACACTGCATTGGGCATTTGGTGGGAGAATACAGAGGGTGGAAGAGTTGGGAATATAGGAGAAAGTTTGTAAATATTTGTAAATTAATAAGTGGAAGACATGAAATAATGGGTTACATTTGAGGACTCAGGGATTTAAATGTACAGTTACTATGCTCCTGATTTCACCTCTTTTGGAACACTGCTAGAAAAACAGATTCAAGATATAAAATAAAATATTTGAATGGAAATATAGTCCCAGGCATTGGAACAGAAAACCATTACTCATACTACCATGTGTGGCTGAGTCTTCCTTTAAAACTTCTAACTCAACATGTGTTGCCAAATGACTACGAAGCTGGCTCAGTTGTTAGGTTCCGTTGTAATTTATGAGGTTCTTAGTACAAAAAGAAGTCAAATAGTTTTCAGACAGATAAATATTCACAATATTTTACTCTTACTCTTTTGTTCTTGGCCTTACCTTTTAAACTGCTGCCCAAAGGTAGAAAAACAAAAGAGAACTTTTGAAAATACTTGTTAAAAGAACAGGAAATGCATCATCAAGAAAAAGATGTTATCTTTTCTACCCCAAACAGTGGAAACTTATGAACTTTTCTTAATGCTGCAGTTCTTTCTACAAAACCATTGCATAAGTTTTATAAATGCCACTGTCAATGAGCAATTTAAAATCACTTTTTCCAAATGTTGCAGAAAGAACAACTACCTTACTTTCATTTGGATCTGCATTAGCCTTAACTTGACTGGATGGAGCTTGGTGTTAATAAACTCAAGGTTATGGGTTCAATTCTGATGTGGTCTATTTTAGCTTCTCTGAGCAGAAAATTTGGTACCATGGTCTTACCTTATATGTTAAACCCCAGACACTTAATACTGCAGTTTAGTCCAACTCATGCCCACTACTGCTGAACAGCTCAAAGTATGACCTTAAAACCCAAGCTCAGCATGTCACAGTCCTTGAGGCTTACAGTTTTTTTTTAAACAAAACTTACCATACTAATATGAGAAAGAAAAATTCTAGTCTTAAGCAACCACAGAAAAGCCTCACATTTGCTCTGCCTCTCAGAGTATATTTTGGTCCAATTAGTCTGTCTATTCCCATTAGAGTATCAGCCTCATAGAGGCAGAGATCTTGCCTGTTTTGTTGACTGCTATACACCAGTACCCATGACAGTGCCTGGTACTCCATGCTTATTACATGCAGCTCACAGAACGCTATATGCTTTTTCAATGCTGACAACACCTATTTCAAGTAGAAATGGATTACTTGGCACACTTAACAATGGTTCCTAAAATGTGGTCCCCAGACTAGCAGCATAAGCATCATCTGGGAACTTGTTAGAAATACAAGTTCTCTGACCCTTTTATAGGCCTACTGAATCAGAATCTCTGGGAATGGGGTCCAAAAGCACATATTTTTAATAAGCCTCTGTGTGAGTCAGAGGCAAGCTAAAGTTTGATTTCTACCAATTTAACTCAGTAAAGAAAACCCTTTACCACACTCAGCTCTGATTCCCAGCAGCAGTCCCAAATGACATAAATCCAGCCATTCTAGTACAAAAGTATACATGCATATCTTGGAATGAGTGAAGGATGACTTTATGTATAGATATTTGAACCAATAAAAGTTAATCACTCTTATGCACTTTGTGTAGCAATGTACCTTGAATCCTAAGACAAGAATGTGAGATAGAAATAGCAAATTATATATATATATATATATATATATATATATATATATATATATAATGTATATATATATATATATATGCCTAATATGTTAAGTGTCCGACCAAGCGGTCGACCGACCGGTCACTATGATGTGTACTGACCACCAGGGGGGTAGATTGGTAGATTAGCCGACTGGTAGATTAGCTTGCTGCTGGGGTCCACCTATCAGGACTGGGTGAGACGGGGCCAGACACACCCTGGAGCCCTCCTGTGGTCCCTCCCGTGGTCCCTCCCCAGTCACCAGCACCGATTGGCCCCTATTGGGACTGGGCGAGATGGCCCTGATCAGTCCCGATTGCCGGCCAGGCAAAGGGACCCCACCTGTGCATGAATTTCGTGCACTGGGCCTCTAGTGTTAAATAAAATATTAAGCAAGGCTTAATATGTAAGGCTTCTTCCCAGATCACCCTTTTTATGGCACATCTAAACAGAACTTACTTAATGAATAGGGAAGTAATATGATATGATGTTAATGCCCCCACACCAAGAGCCAAAGACCTTTGTTTTTCTTTACTAGCTTTATTATCCAAAAGCCTCACTGGGATTCATCATCATTCCAATGAGCTAAATAATACCAAAGTGGAAAATTCTATGATTCAATAAGAGGATCAAGGGCCTATAATGTTCCAAAACTAACATATTTCTAGATGACAGAAAGTGGGAAAGAATGATACTTATGTTGGACCCAAAAGGCTCCTGACAGGCAAGAGGATAGATTAAATCTAACAAAACAGTAGTTAAAAAGGATGAAAGTAAACTTCTACACCTGGGTTAAAATACACATACTCAGATATAGGTTTGAGAAAATGTGATTCAGCAACAGCATATAAATATTTTTTAAGACTCATTTGCAATAAACTCCCCAGAAGTTAATATTGCCTCCACTGTCACCCTGAAAGCAACAGTGATTTTAGGATGTCTTCGCAGAAGCAAAGTGTCTACTAGCAAAACCACAGCTGTGCTCTGATCTGATCTTGGGTATCCCACACCTGAAATATCTGCATTCATTTTCAGGCTCAACACTTTATGGGTGGGGGTAGAGGGGGGCAGCAAAGATGGTGCTGTAAGTAGAAACCATGATTTCTGTAGGGCAAATTTGGTGACTACGATTAACCAGACTCGAAGAGAAACCTCAAGCATGGGCTGAGGCATGCTGGCTATCTTCAAATGTGTTAGGGGCTGTCATAGGGAAGAGGGGTTAAAAGTGCTCTATGTAACTCTAGGGGCTTAAATGTAAAGTCAATGAGTAGAAACCAATGAACAGCCTTTGGTTCCAAGGAAGTTAAAGTAACTAACAGAAAGAGTGGTAACAGTTTTCTGTGCCAATTTGGCTGGACTATAGTACCCAGTTATGTCATCAAACATTAATGTAGGGGTTAGCATGAAGGTGTTTTGTAGATGTGGTTAACATCTATAATCGGTTCACATTAAGTAAAGGAGATTAACCTTAATAATGTGGGTGGGACTCATGCAATTACTGGAAGCCTTTAGTGCAAACCCTGAGGTTTCCCGGAGTGAAAGAAATTCTGCCTTAAAATTGCAACATAATTCCTACCTGAGTTTCCAGCCCTAATAGACAGACAGACAGACAGACAGAAAAAAATAGAGAAATAGATGGATGGACAGATGATAGATAGATAGATAGATAGATAGATAGATAGATAGATAGATAGAGTGTCCTATTGGTTCTGTTACTCTTGAGGACTGACTGACACAGTTGTCTAAGGATGGAATGTTGAGTTCTTGTCACTGAAGATATTCAAGTGGAGGTGAGGAAACCACTTTGATTATAATAGGAAGTCCATTTAAAATATATGCCTCCTAATAGAGTTATAAAGCATGTATAGACTGCATAGTCTAATTCAATTTATTTGTTTTACTGAGGATCCAGTCTGCATTGATTACTGTCTGAGGCTCTGGGGCTATAATGGTGAGCAGAAATAGGTACTGCTCTTCCTTTTGGGAATGTACATGAATCCTGTACTATGGGCAAGCTATTCTAGAACACAAAGTTGGTGCTCAACCAATACTCAAATGAATAATTGAATAAGTACATAAAAACATTTAAGTTTATAGGGAAATATACAGGTACGTATATTTATACATTATGTGGAAAATATTTCTATTGAAAATATTTAAGTGTTTTAAAGCTTTGATTTTTAAATAAGGATAAGATTTGATTATCAAACAATTCTATAACAAGCCATGCTTCCTTCTCCAACAAGGCAGGCATCTAAACCATTTTCCTAAACAGTTTAGGCTCTTACCTACTGATCCTAAAAAAAAGACCCTGACTCAGTATCTACTTATTTACATATCTGAAAGGTCAAACTACAAAGCATAGAAACTGCACCCCCGGTGTAGTCTGTAATGCTGTGTATGCAGTGGAGGAACCTACAGCCGACTGCTGGGCTGAGCATGCTCCTCGGGTCTCCAAGGGTGGGCAGCCACAGAACTCCCCAGACTACTTTTCCAAGCAGAAATGTGAAGGAACACAGCGGGAGAATACATGAATTTCAATAATGAGGGCATCATAGTGTGAAGACCACATTTGTATTACAAAAATTTATAATTTTTCAAAGTACCTTCAAAGCCCATCCTGCCTGCATCAGTGCAAATCAATCAATCAATCAGCAAATGAATGTATCATTTGATAGGTGAATGAAAAGAGACATGATTGAGATGAAGCTACAGTTTTGACCCTACTTTTTTCAGTCAGGACAGTGGGTACTTTTTAAACTTTCAATTGTTACATCATATTGACAGGACATATGTAACATATTCTTTTTTTATAACAAGAAACTTATTCTCAAATAGAACATGATTCATCAGTTTCCTCACACTTGACCTAAAGTCCTAAGGCATGGAATACAGCATTGCAGGGGAATTTTTCTATATAGACAGGATGCTGAGAATCCCAGCTGTATTGACGGGCAACACACCCAGGGAGCCCAAGAAGCTCTGCCATGCCTTGGTTTATTTATTGATCACTGAGGATTATTTTATAAAAACAAAACTCATCAGTTTTATAAACCTTGTATTATAAAATTCTAATGACCATCTCATTTCCTAATGTAAGGTGTTTGAAAGGATATCAAAGAGAATGGAGTGATACAAAATGAAAACATTTAGTCGCAAAGTTGCAAAAACCTTCATAGAGTCATAAACAGGGATTCCAGACTTGGCTGTGGCACCAGGAAGCTGGGTGATCTAGGTAAGCATCTCTCTCCTCATATATGTGTGTGTGTGTGTGTGTGTGTGTGTGTGTGTGTGTGTGTGTGTGTGTATTTTAGAGTGCCTTTCTTTGTAATATAACTACTTTCATTTTTAATGGGATGGAAGAAATCATGGCTGTTTTTCTGAAACCACATCCATTTTCAAAGGCAGCTGTAGCAACAGAGGTGCGTTTGCACTGGAATTTTGGCTTCAAGGCCAGTACCACCTTGAACACTTGGCTCATTTCCCCAAACCCATAAGTTGGAAAAATATCAGGAATAAAAAGGGGAATTACAAGGATGATTTACAATTCTCTTCACTCCCTTCCCTCAAAGGTAGTCCTTGTCAGTTGCCAAAAAAACAAGGCAAGATCAAAATGGAACTGAATGATAACTGATAATTAACTACAGGAAAATATTTCAATGAATAAATCAGTCATCAGTTAAAAATAAGGGACCAATGAATTTTAAAAATATACTCCAATAGAAAAAAGCAGAGATAGGGATACTTCCTTGTGGTTTTGAAAAACACGTCTTGATTTTGTTTTGTTTTGTTTTCCAGTATCATTTCCTCCATAAGTATATTTTTTCTTAAGAGAAAAGTCTAATCAATGATCATTGCCAACCTACAAAATGTTTAACTATCCACGATTAAACAACTGATTTTGGTGATTTAATTTTCCTCCCCTTTTCTTCCTTTAGTTTGCTGTTTTTTCTAAGCCCACATAAGCACTATTCCTCCCCTTTGCTTCTCCTGGGCATGAGAGAAAGGTCAGTGCAACTTATGCCTTACACAGAGGTCTGAATTTTACATAGATCCAAAGGAAACACCTGCAATTTGGATTGGAAGAAACAAATGAAAATCAACTCACCTAGGCTGTTTGCCTCTTTTGGCTTTTCTATCTTTGCAGGTAAAGAAATGCCTCAGATAACCATATCACCATATTTTATGACAATGGAATGGCTATTTTTCTAGCCTCATCCAAACTTGTCTCAATGCCACCTTCCTCCCTTTGGTCCAATCAGATTAATATTACAATTTGCATATATTTTATTAATAAGGCATGCAAGCTAGTTACATTATTGTAATGAGATGCTTATATACCCCAAATACCCTAGCTGTTTCTCTACTTCTTTTAGAAGTACTTCGAAAACAATGTTAAAGACGCATCATACTACCCTATTAAGTGCGGAGTGAAGGGAACAAACTGGTTTATAGCGACTGGGAGTAGAGAAACATTGCTCAAACGCAAAGGTTAGTTCCATAAAGTACATATATATGTTAAATAAATGTTTGGAACAGTCACATTTTAAAATCAAAATTGTCCCCGTTCCACTTGAAAATGAGAGGAAAATACATTTCAAAACTTTTAATAATGGGAGGGGGGCGGAGAGAGAGAGAGAGAGCAGGCAAGAACTAGAAAAAGGAGGAAAAAGTAAATCACTTCTCTTTTTCTCAAGGGAAAAAATTTCACAGGCTTGTTTGTTTGGCACCCAATTTCTCGCTTAGCGATCTGAATCAATGACCCAAAGCCTTCACGGATGACTGCATCAATTGGCTTTTGAATTCGCGGATAGCATTACTCAATCAACTCTGAGACTAGCCTTTTCAAGAAATATATTTAGCTGTGGCACACAGTATTTCAATTCTACAATGAGAATGTCAACTGTAAAACGAAATGTAAAATTTCAGTTCTTTTTCTCTTAGCCCCTCCCACACTTACTACAAATTTGAATAATATGAGTCCAGGAGGCATTTAAATAAATATGGTGTGCATTTTGGGTATATGGCAGGTCTTATTGCTTCAATTACTTGGAGCCTATCAAAGGATGGGTTGACACACAGGTAAGGAAATCTATGTCTTACATGTCATGTTTTCAGGGCTTTACCCTTAGCCAGGGAAGAGAAAATGAAATGGGCTCAGAAATCTCAGAAATGGTGGCTCTATGCTTTGCAGTATCCCCACGGTTCTCATCATGCTGAACCAGGAAGCTCCGTAAGCCAACAAGTAAACTCACTAGAAGACAGCTTCAAAGTAAAATTAGAAGAAAGACGACTCCCCCAACACAAAAAGACCATATGTGTATAATATTGCCATACGGGCACACACACAACCCTCATGTGTTTTATCAGTGTTTCTTAGTGATTGAGACATTATTAAATTTTGCCTGTAAGGACACTTCTTTGGTCAACTCACCAACCAAAGAGTTTTGGTTAATGTAAAACTCAGTTTTAAACAGTGGTCGTATATATTACCTAGAATTAGAAAGCTGTCACTTTCAAATTTAAGGCTGTTAATTTATTGATGACATTAACATCTTCTGGCTGTCTCTCCAAGATTTCCAAGATATAAGCCATGAGAAATATAGTTCTGATTGTCAGTTGTCAAGCTGTAAGTGACATTAATCAGAGTTTCGATTTAAGAGAAAGTGTGTGTGTGTATATTTGGAGTGTGGTGACTAGCAATAGGGAATTTTTGTCTTATAATTTTTCTAAATTTTACTGAAAACCACTTGAATGTAAATATATCTTAGATTGTACGTTTCACTAAATAACAAGTTAAAATGAGCACAATTAAAAAATTTTTAATCTAATTATTGAGCATTTACTATGTGCCAGGTGCTGTTCTAATGAACTTGCATGTAAAAGCTTATTCAATCCTAACAACAACTCTTTGAGATAGGCACTATCATACCCTTTTTAGAGTTGAGGAAACTGAAAAGTTAAATAACTTGCCGAAGTTTCCAAGCTCACACGGCTATGCAAGTGCAGATTTGGGAATAAAATTTAACAGCTCCTGCTTTCGACTCTAGGATATTCTACTTTCTGTTAGCAAAGTCACAATATGGTCTTATTTACCACAAATTCAATTTAGTATTGAATGTAGGGAAAGTAGATGGGACCGGTGAGACTTCAGACCTCTGAAATAATTCACACAAACACAAGTCAAATCAGAGATGCTCAGCTTCTTTAATCCACGATCTCAAGCTGGCTCCCCCAGGAATAGTTCCCATGCTGGGCGTTTGGAGAGAAACACCTCACTTGAGCCCATGCAAAGATCATGTCCATTTTTGGGAGGCATAAGAGTAAGTGAGGAGCTTCAGTCATGTTTTTGTAGACTTAAAAAAACAAAAGTTACTAATACGACTGATACAGTCTGTACAATAGGAAGATGAACACATGATATAATGACTAAGCAAAGATATTATATACCCACATTTACAAAGATTTATAGAAGAAATTTAATAGATACGAAGTGCTCTATGGTTGTTTTTACTAAAGTATGGGTAAAGGTTTCAAAATTTTCCCCCATGCTTAAGTTAAACCAATAGTACTTTTCAATATGAGGTGTGGTTACAAGGCCTCAGGAAAATAAGTCTAATGTTGAAATAGGAAAACACTGTGCGGAAATGACAGACAAAAGACAATTGTTTAAAGGCATGTAGTCTGTCATTGTCATTTTTACCTAAATGAAAATAAATACAAGTGATAGAATGTGTATAGGCTTCTTCTATATAGTCTAAAGACTGCTCATTAATAAAGAACTATAGGATTTTAGAGTTAGCAGGGCCTTTGTGAACAAGTTTAACTTGAGCATTTTACATAACTAAACGAAGGTCATCAGAATTTGTAGTCTATGTGCAGGTGTTAACCTCAGCCATAGGAAGATGTACGGAGTGAGAAGACAAGAGGATGGTATGTGGAGCCCTGGGAGCTTTGGTTTTTGAGAAGTGGGCCCTGTGATGAGCAGCCATGAAGGCAGCTGGTTAGGGGCAATGGAGAGGGAGCAGATAAGTCAAATGTGATATCCTGGGAGACTGGGAAGACAGGAGCAATGGAAAAAATAAGTGATTGTACTGAACGATAACAAGAGGTCACAGAAGACCAGAACTGGGAAATGTTCATTATGTTTGTTGGCTATTGATGGGTGGTGACCTTAGCAAAAGCAGTTTCTGCAGCATGATTGCAATGGAAGATTGCAATGCTTTAAGCAATGAATGGGAGTTAAGTGCATTACGACAGTCAGGGCAGAGCCTACATTCAATAAACTTGGAGAAAAGAAAAAGACAGAGAAATGTACAAAGAAATGATCAAGGAAAACTATCAGTAGAGAATGAGAAAATAATCAAAACTATAAACAATTTGGGAGGAAGACAAAGTGAACTGGGGTCTAAACTCAGGCTGATGGGCTCACCTTGATAGGAGGTAGACAGCTTGCTCTGAGATGAATATACTTGCAGCTAAGAGGTTCTCCCAACTGGCTTTTTATTTTCAACTTTCAAACCATGTGGAATTTATTTTGATAAGTGATATAAGGGTAATAAATCCCCTCCCCTTATTGCCTATGACAAATTTTGGATGAATGAATAATAAACAGTCCGACCCAGGCCTTGACCCTTCAGTCACCAAGGACTCAGAGGAGCACAGGCCTTCCCACACACCCCCTGCCTCCATCCCCCACTCCCTGGCACAGTTTCCTCATTCTCCAGACCAGTCCACCGACTTCAGAAATTAGGCTCTCACGCCATCGGGAAACACCGAGGAGATTAATGGGGAGGAGTTACTCTATCTTCCATCTCGTGAAGGCTGGCAGTTTCTCAGCCTTGCCAACTATCTATTTTCTTTGCTTGGTTTCTGCCAGAGGCAAGAGCGAGTAACAAGTCAAAGGAAAGAGTGAAAGCAGAAAAGATTAAAAGAAAAAAGAAAGACATAGAATAGGGAAGATTTACTGCTGAAAATAAGCCAGAAAGCAGGTTAGGAAAGAGAGGTTGGTCGCAGAATTAAAAGCTGCACATGTGTGTTTGTTTAAGATGATGTGGATTACCTATTGTATTGGGAGATCCAAACGGGTTTCCCTCTACACACACACACTCCTACCAGGTAGCTGTTAGAGTCCTCTCCTAAGAACCAAAGGCTCCATATGCAGTAATTTATGGGTCTTTTCTCCGGTAAGAGATCAAAGCAACATTATCTGAAAAGCCTACTTAGCATCCTTTAATTATAAAATCTGAGGTATATTTTTCAAATTGGATTAGATACATCTTCACTTTCACCATTTTCACCCTGAATTTTGAAGGTATGCAAGCCTTTTCTCAGTGAGGAATCAAAAAGCCTTCAGCACTTTGTGAGAATTACTCATCGGAGCCAAAATTTGATCATTAAATTCAACCCAGAGGCCCTGGCAACTGTCTTGCTTGGTCACTCTAAGTTCTCACCAGTCCTCCCCGATTTTGGACAATAATGCAATTCTGTTTCTTTTAAAGACATATTTATTCAACTAGCATTTATTAAGCACACAATACATGCTTGGCATTTGACTGGTTGCTGAGACTAGTAAGATGAATGAGATATAAAATTGGCCCCTTAGGAATTCATATAGAGAAAAAGGAGCAAATATATTTTTAATTTCCGCAATCTGATTTCTTCAGAGGTTTGTTTAATATCCTTCCTCTAAATACCAAGACCGATGATATATCCATTGCCTTGCATATTATCAACAAAGCTACTTTATCATGAATAAGCAAAAGAGTACATAAAACTTGGCTATGCAAAAGAAAAGTTCTGGATAAAGAAAAAGAGACTTCATCTGAAAGAGCACATGAGACTATGCGAAATGCCAACCACCCTCCTGCCCAATCCCAGGAGGCAGTAACACACACACACAACCACAACAACCACAACCACAACAAAACTTACCTGACTTGCCCACGCCTGCTCTTCCAAATACTGCCAATTTGACCTCTGCACTTTTAGCCATGCTGGGTGGTGGTAGACAACTCCCTGTCGTTCAAACTAAAGAGCTGAGAAAATCGTTTTGGTTCCAGCCTTTGGGTTCACCATATCATTGCAAATCTGCAACCCTTAGACAAAAGAGATTTGCATTAATATTTATTAAGCATCTCCTCGATGCCAGCCATTATTCAACTTGATCAACATTTTCCATTTTGACCTTCACCACAATCCTGTAAGAGGGCTCTAGTAATTTACTGTAAATGATTCAACTATTAAATGACAGATCCAGATCCAGGACTTGAATTTCAATCTGTTTTGGTTCTAAAACATGTATTTTCACTTACAATAGCATTTTCTAAAGTACTTCCTCAAGAATATTTAATGAATATTAATATTTTCATTGTTTTTCTGTCAGTAATTGATAACAAATATTCAGAGTATGTGACTACATGCATTTACCATGTGTCTGTAAACTTCCAAGATGCAAACAGATGTGATGGGGAGAGTCACATTTGGAACTCTTTATCTATTATTTCCCTTTGGGCCAAGTAATAGACATTCATAGTAGTCAACCCCAATGTAACACAATTGAATTTGCATTTTAAGGTTTAAATTTTATCTCAGCTGACACTAGATCACATGATCAAGTCATGTGATCGATACTCATGTTCCAGGAATTGTTATGTAATATATAGATCATATTTTAATATTTTTCTTGGCACAATGGCCTGGTACACAAAAGATAAATGCCATGCCCTTTTCTATGAAAAATTCAAGTAAATTAGTTTATGATATTATCCTAACACTTGGGAAATTAATTATATTCCATAAAACATAAGCACATTTTATCTAAGTGGGTGCTTCAGGAATGACACCTGGGTTCTTAGTACCATAGAAATACAAAGTTGACAAGAGCCCTGGGCCCAGCTGATGCAACTCAGTGGCTGAGCTTTGACCTATGAATCAGGAGGTCAAAGTTTGATTCCTGGTGAGGGTACATGTCCAGGTTGCGGGCTCGATTCCCAGTGGGGGACACACAGGAGGCAGCTGATCAATGATTCCCTCTCATCATTGATATTTCTATCTTTCTCTCTCTTTACTTTCCTCTCTGAAATCAATAAAAATATTAAGAAGAAAAGAAAAGAGCCTTGGGGTCAACCAAAGAATCCTCCAGCCATTGCAGGAATCCTTATGAACAGACAACCATGCAACACCCAGCCTGTGTCTGAGTTACCACTCTCAGGTGAGGAGGGGAAGGAGAAACATTGTCAGCCTTTTCTTTTTGGCCACTCAGAGCCCTTCAGGTAGCCTAGCAGCTATGAGGACCCTTTGCCCCACCCCAGGCTCTACTTTCTAGGGAAGCGAGGGCCAGCATCTCCCCTTGTACGTCACGGGATGTAGGGTCTTGTTTATGCTTTTTTGACTTTCACCTTCCCTCTTCACCATATGCAGCTCTCTCCTCTGACACTTGCCATTTTAATTACTCTAAAAACGTGCCATCCACTGCATTCCCCACTAGAGATGTGACCTGACAAAGTGACCCAGCTCAAGTTCACTGACATTTTCTCTATTCATTATCTGGGCACCATGGTTGTATTGCCCCACAGCCACTCCTCTTCCACATGAGCTGCAGACTTCCCCACTCTGCACATCTGCAGTCAACATCTTAACCCTAAATACAAGACTTCACTTTTATCCTGGTTAAACTTAATCACATCAGTCTTCCTTTCATCCAGTTTTCCAGTCTGTAAAGAGAATTTTGAAACACAAATCTGTTATCTAAATGTGTAAGCTGCTCCTGCCAGCGTTTTGCCATCTACACATTTACAGCTGCTCCAGTGCAAGATAAAAGTAAAACTCCTTCTGAAAATTTCTCCAAAGACATCAACACATAATTGTTTTCTTCATTATGCATCCAAGCTATCAACCTGTACCTAACAAATTTTGTATGTACTGATTTTCAAAGTGCCAGAACTTCCCCTGAAGGATGAAAAGGTCAACATGAACATTGGCTATAGTTTCCTTCATCCTCAATAACGAAAAAAACTTCTTAGTAATCATTAATAGTACCAAACCCAGAAGCTTTAACATCTGTTATTTGTCCAGTCCCATATTTGGGCCAGGATCACAGGATGTCCTTATTTTAACTTTATATGCATTCATTAAGAAGAGGCCTCTGTGTTTAGTGCTTCATCATAGAAGTTTCACAGAAGCATAATATATAAAGGTGCATTAACTATGCAAATTCTATACAAGAATGGCAAGCATTTCTTTAAAACATAGACCATGCCAGTGTCTGGAGCTTGTATAAACAACAATTTGTTATTTCATGCAAAATTGTTCATTTGCATACACATAAAAACCTGGGTCATTACCTATTGTCAATACAATTGATGCTTCATGAAAGTAGCCATCAAATGTGATTTTAAAAAAAGAAAACCACATTTGTTAAGTCAGATATTTCAGTAGCTTTTCAGTAACTCCCAAATGGCCTCAGAGGAATAGGAATTTCACATAAGAAAGATAAATTGTTTGGGCTAATTTTTTCATTTACAACATAATAAAGATGCATCTGGTTATTCGGAATCTTATGTCATGTTTAGAAAAATGACTTAAAGGAAGACACAAACTGACATACATCCTTCAATATTTTATTTCTCTCATGAAAATGTCAAGTTACATAAATTGCTGTAATAAGTGACCTGTTGCCAAATTTCTGACGTTCAAAACAATTCATAGCCCTAGTTGCTTTGGCTCAGTGGATAGAGAGTGTCAGCCTGTGGACTGAAGGGTCCCAGGTTTGATTCTGGTCGGGGGCACGTGCCTGGATTGTGGGCTTGATCCCCACTGGGGGATGTGCAGGAGGCAGCCAATCAACAATTCTCTCTCATCATTGATGTTTCTGTCTCTCTTTCCCCCTCCCTTCCTCTCTGAAATCAATAAAGATATATTTTTAAAAAATTCATAAACCAAGACCTCCCATAACATGGATCTAAAAAAAAACTATTAGTTTTAATGTTGTGCCGAAACATTCTGGCTGAATCCAGAAGTTGCCATTTAGTTTTTATGTAGACAGTGCTTTACCAGGACAAAAACTTCTGAGTTCCTATAAATCCCAAAGCTAAACTTACATAAACTTAGATATTTAAGAGATTAAAGGTACGGTGATTTTTTTAAACAATAAAGACCTAAAAGAAAGCTTAGAAAGAAGAAAAACAGGAGCTACCCTCCAAATCCTACGCTATTAATGCATTAATTGATTCATTCCACATTTATGCTAAGCATATACAAACAGAGTGGCTACCTCCCAGGAGCTTAGACCTCTGACATTTAGGTCACTAATAACCTCATCTAAAAAATATTTAAAGAAAGGTTTCATTCATAATAAATCATTCCCAAGACTACTTGTCAAGGCCCATGCTTCCCACTTCCTCTTGGTTAAAAAAATAATAAAGAAAAGACAAGAAAAGCATCTTTATAAGGTACTAGTTTTTTCTAACTAACTTCTGTATTTATCATCAAAATAAAGTGCAGCTGTTTAGGGAAGCAAAGACTCCACCCCGGGCGTGGGAATGAGATTCTCTTTGGGCTGCCCCCTCTCTAGCCTTGAAATCAAGTTTTCCTCCTCTCATCACCCGAATTCTCCCTCATCTTACAACGCAGCACCCACAACCACGAGAATAATTGTACCAGACCCCTGGCTGTGGCGCTGCTCCGGGAGCAACAGGTACCCTGGATGATAAACAGGCCCACTGTGGACCGTTCGCAGGTCACTTGCTGGCAGCCTAGAGGGCCAATGCAGCCCAAGTCAAAAGGGCACGCTGGGTCCCAGCTCGCAGGGCGCTGTCAAACTCTGGGCGCCTGCGTTCACGGCTCCCTCTTGGGGAACCCCAGAGCCGGCCTGGGGGCCCAGGGACCAGGAGGACACACCCAGAACCCAGGGCTCAGGGACGCGGAAGGGTCTGCAGGAGGTCGTCCCGAAAGAGCCACCTGGGCACGTTCCTGACACTCACCTGTTCACAGTCTCCAGGCCCGGGAGAAGCGCAGTCCCCTGCAAGTTCGGAATCACTCCCCGCTCCACGCCGCGCAGCCCAGGGTGCAGGCTGCGTTTCGGAGTCGCTGGGCTGCGATCAGGGTTGCGAGCGGCGGCAGCAGCAGCAGCGAGTGCCAGCGGACCAGCCGGAGAGGAGTCTCCTCGCTCCCACTAGCAGCCTGGGGACTGCGGCAGGACGCGCGAGCTCAGCCCGCTCGCGGCCGGGATGCTGCAGTGCGGCGCTCGGGCGCCCCCTCCTGGCCAGCGGCCTGCTCCCGCCGCGGTGCTGCCTCCTCCTGGAGAGCGTGGACTATGCGCCTTCTCTGGGCTACACAGGAGTCAGGCTTCCCTGTCCCCTTGCTCAGTTCCCAGCCTCTAGGTTCTCACAAGAGGACCTCTTTCCTTGCTTAACATGTTGGGTGTGAAAGCATCACTACGTGGTATTTTCCATTCCTGGTTTTCTTTTTTAAAATATATTTTTATTGATTTCAGAGAGGAAGGGAGGGGGAAAGAGAGATAGAAACATCAATGATGAGGGAGAAACATTGATCCAGCTGCCTCCTGCACGCCCCACACTGGGGATGGAACCCACAATCCCAGGCATGTGCTTTGACCGGGAATCAAACCGTGACCTCCTGGTTCATAGGTCAGTGCTCAACCACTGAGTCACCAATTGGGCCCATTTCTGACTTTATTTTTATTTATTTATTTTTAAGTTTATAGTTTATTAATCCTCTCATGAAAAAGCTGCACAACCATCACAGATAAACTCACCGAAGAATCTTTACTCCTTCTTTTTGCCAGCACCAACATTGGCCTTCGCAGCCCTCCTGACATTCTTCGTTCTGTTCTTGCGATCCTTTCGCTGTTTTCTTTTTCTTTTTTTTCCCCCCCGCTCTTTTCTTGAGGTCTTCTTCTTCTCATATAGGCCATGTCTTTGCAAATCTGTGCTTGGGTTCATTTTCCTTTGCATGATCCAAGAAATCATGCCAAAGCCAGTGGTCTTGCCACCACCAAAGTGGGTTCTGAATCCAAACACAAAGATGACATCAGGTGTGGTCTTATACATTTTGGCTAGTTTTTCCCGAATTTCTGTCTTGGGTACTGTTGCCTTCCCAGGGTGAAGGACATCAATGACGATTTGCTTCTGCTGAAGTAATCTGTTGGTCATGAACTTCCTGGTCTGGATGAGTACCGTGTCATTCATGATGAAGGTTTATCTTCAAGCAACCAGAGAGGAAAAGAGGGCCACTCTTCCTTGGCCAATCATATTAACGCCCCATTTCTGACTTTAAATGATGCTCACAGCATCCCTTTGGGGTCCATTTGATTATCCCCGTGATACCCAAGAGGGAACTGAAAGAGAGGATCAATAACTTGTCCAAGGCTAGTATTTTGTTGGAATTAAGTCCAGGCCGGCTGGAATGGAAGCTGAGAGATGCTAGGAGGGACATATGTACCGAATTCAATTAAAATTTATCGTTACTTATTTGAGAAAGTGCCAAAAGCTTCACATCCTCCTTAGAAGATCAGCACTTACACTATTTGAATCAAAGTCATACTCCATCATGCCCAAAACCTAACAAAGATGATTAATTTTATGTGGTGCTAGACCTACTTTTACCTCTCATCTCATCTGATATTTATACCCCTCCCTGGGGTAAGCACTAGTATCCTAATTACAAGCCTTTCACAGATGAGAAGGTGACTGTCAGAAAGGTTAAATGCCTCCCCAATGACTATCAAAGGAGCAGGAAACATCTAGGCTATTTTTTTGATCCTCAGCATGCCTCTGTCTTCCCTTTGTCCAGTTCCCTTCCCCCTCCCGCCCCCCACCCCCGTGTTTTGCAGAATGCTGCATGGCTCATCTCCATTTGTCTTCCTTCCCTCACTTATACACCCATCCAATGTACCTGGCTGATGTCTCAAATTTCTTAGCTTCTGGCTCAGTGGCAGAACAATTTGGTAAATTAATCCCTGCCTGTTGTTAATTGGGACAAAGATAAGATGAGGAACAGCTTAGGTTGGAATCTAGGCTTGGCCACTTAATAGTTGGTTTGCTGGAGAGTGCAAAAATGCAGCTTCCTGGTGAAGCTGCCCAAATGACATGCCTCTAATGCCTGGCCTTCCCTTTGCTTCTTTCCTATTATTAATCACTAGCTAATTAACATGGTATCAAACTTTTAACTAATACAAGTACATCAAATTCTTTCACCCTGATACAAAGATGTGGTTGTCACAGCTGAGAATGGAACAAGAATAACCTAATACAGGCAGAAAAACCTGGATTATGTAATGAATTTTGAACCAAAGGGCTGGTTCTCCTGGCCAAGCTGGCACTAAGACTTTTATTGGTTCTCTAGTAAGAATAAATTTCAAAGTCATGTCAAAAGACTCTTGTGCAATATATGCCAATGTAGGTAATTATTCCTGAGTTTGCAACATAAATCAGTCATTCTCGGATGACCTATTTTTGTTTTTGTCATAAAGTCCCAAGTGAAAGAACTTCCTCAAAGATCCAGACTAGGTAAAACCCCACCAGTTATTTTGTTAAGATTCTGCAAATCAAGTAAGCAGACCTCTTAGGTAAATGTTTTTAAACATTTAAAAAACTACTTGCACTGTTATGCAACAGATAGTCTGATGAATGCACAGCCAGAGACAACCAAATGACTATGTAGAGGCTTTGAAGTATGCTGATCCTGGCTGGGAGAAGAGACGAGGAATGAATACATGAAGAGAAGCCATATATTATAGCATGCATTTATTCTTAGAGCATTCTACAAAAACCTGGGGAAACAGTGGCCTAATATTAACTAGTTTTCCACTCCAACCAAAAAACCTTTGTAAGGATTGGATTACATCGACCTGCCAGGACAAGACAAGATAAAAACATGCAGATTTTGAACTAGGAGAGTTTTCAAAAGAGAGAGGGACAGAGAGGCAGGTTGTATTAAAGCTAAAATACAGAAGCAAGAATCTGGGACCCAGATACAAATTAATTCAAAAGCTGCTAGAGCTGCCCTTGCCGGTTTTGCTCCGTGGGTAGAGCGAGCGTCGGCCTGCGGACTGAAGGGTCCTGAGTTCTATTCCGACCAAGGGCATATGCCCAGGTTGTGGGCTCGATCCCCAATGTGGGGCATGCAGGAGGCAGCCAATCAATGATTCTCTCATCATTGATGTTTCTATCTCTCTCCCTCTCCCTTTCTCTCGGAAATCAATAAAAATATATATATTTTTAAAAAAGTTGCTAGAGATGAGTCCATCTGTGATGCTTGTTCATTTCAGGAATTCCATCCTCTTTTCTACCTCCTCCCAGATGCCCAAGTCCACCATGCTCTCAGCTACAATATATCTTGAGTCTGTGTTTTCTGAGCAGAATGCCTGCATGGCTCATCTCCATTTGTCTTCCTTCCCTCACTTACACCCCCATCAAATATACCTGGCTGATGTCTCAATTTCTTAGTTCCTGGCTCAGCGGCAGAGCAATTTGGTAAATTAATTCCTGCCAGTTGTTAATTGGGACAATGGCATCGTGGATAAGATAAGGAACAGCATAGGTTGGAATCTAGGCTTGGCCACTTAGTAGCTGTGTTTCTGGGCAACAGGTTGTTAAAATCTGTAAAATGATGAAAATAATGCCTGTTTTATAATATTCTTGTAAGGACTGCATTAGGTAAGTCATGAAATGGATTTCTGGATGGCGATCAAAATTTATTTTTGGGGGGGGTAGAAGTGGGAGATAACACTTAAAGTTGCTAATAATTTCCTATTTCTGGAGACATTTGTGGGGCAGGTTCCTTCCTTTCTAGGAAGAACTACTTGAGAGGCCTTTTGAGTTATTGGAAACCTAGGCATTGTCTTAGGGAAATCATATAAAGGGAGGAGTTCAATTATTTGTTTATTTTTTATTGTCAATAGCCTGAGTCCTTAGGGAATATAAAGTTTGTCTCCCTATAGATCTCTTTGCATCCATGAATTTAAAATGGAAGTAAAAGGAGCCTTCAGGGAAGAATGGCATTATGAACCAGACCTCTTTCCTTTTGAAATTCAAAGTTACAGAACCTGACTGATTATTGGGTTGACCTCACAGAGGTCATAAGCTGCAAAGGCAAGTTAGGATCATGAGACTCTTAAGAGGAAACACGAGAAGGAATGAGAAAGTCTGAACTGACTGTCTGACCTCAAAACCAGCACCTCAGTTGTGAACTAGGGGTGCTGCTTCAGGCACACGAGGTGCTAAATTCCAGAAGACTGGGAATGAGGCAAGAGCTGGGAAATCTCAAATAGTGAGATTAGGGGTCCTAACCTTGGGGAGCTGGCTGTAGGCTGGCAAAGCAGTGGAATTGGGCAGGTATGGTTAAAGCTGGCTTTACAGCATCCAAAATTCCACGGGAATATTTTGAATGTAAACTGGAAGCAATTTCTTGTCACCTAGCTCTTATAGTTGGCAGAGAAGTTGGGAATATTTCCCAACCTGGGTTCCTCTAGAAAGAGAATAGAGTAGGAGTCTTCGTTCAACTTGGGGAATTATCCATCTCTTTGATCATTTGTGTCAGGTATATGGTGCATATAATGGAATCTGAGTACCACTCACAAGTTTATAAAGGTAAAGGAAAAGATGGGGGACCACGAGATCAGGGTGTTATCAAAAGAACTCTAGTTACCAACTTAGGACAAGGCCTCACAGGGTAGCATTACCTTTAGACTTTATAATAAACCAGGTCTGGGTCTCAGGTTTCAGTTTGCAGAATCGATTGAGCTCAGCTGACTCACATTACTCAAACTCACACGATATTGAAGTTCATACATCAGGCTGACAAGTTTTAATGATGTACATCAATTTCTTATGACCAGAAGTTTGGGTTCCCCATTAGATCACTCTATTTCTTGTGTATCTAGAGAGCAAAATAACATTCTTTAGTATTCTAAAGAATATGAAATTGGCAAAAGGGAACGTTTCACCTGGAGTAGATGATGGCAAATTGTACTTAGTTTATTTTCATTCTTAGTTATGTTTTTACATTATCTTCTTAATAAATTGAGAAATATGTACCAGCTGTGCATATGCAATGGGAGGGATTTCTCTGTATATTTAAAATGCACCGATACTCAGAAAAGAGAACCAGCTTCTCTTCTTCTCTTCTTTACTCTCTTCTGTTCTCTTTCCCTGGAGAAGATACAATAAATTTGATATTACGTTGCAATCAGATTCTATACCCAGTTTGGCGTTAAAATACTTTTCAAAATCCTATCTTGATCCAGGTATAGACAATCTCTTGGTTACTTATCACATCCATTATTTACTACTGCAGATTTCACTAGCTTAACTTGCAGAAGGTGAATATATTTCCCTTATTCCCAAGCTTCCCATGGGACATTTCAGTGCTGCTTCCCTATGTAGGAGCCTTGTTATTGTCACTCCGCGATATAAAGGTTGGGGTACCAACTTTAGCATGGTTACCTTTCTGTGGCATATTTAACTAGGCATGCCTTTTATTATGCAGGGACACTGCTAACACAGGATGGACTCATTTAAGAAAATACCCGCACATTTAAATAATCGTTAAATCTATAAAGTAATATGAGAGTTGTGCATGCTGCCAATACAGTGTTTAGAGTGCCCATCCCTCCCCCCTGTATTGGAGTCAGGGAGGCCCTGTCCAGAACCTTGGCCTACCTTGCTGCCTACAGCTCTCACACAGTTATAATCCTGGATCTCCAGTGTTAAAAAAGAAATGACAGGCCAAACATGGAGTCAGATATACTAAGTCCCACATCACCAAACCAAGGCTTAATACCTAACTTGATTACAGTTTCAGCCTCCCCCAGGAATACAATCTTAAACCAGTCGATCTGAAATTAACTGGTCAGCACCAATGAGGTCATCTGCCCGATAGACCCCTGCCATCCCCAAAGGAAAGGGGACTTTGGCACAATCGATCTGTTTTTCGCTAATATAACTTCCTCGTCCTGTTGCCTTCTGCCTATAAAAGTCTTCTGTTTTGTACAGCTCCATGGAGCTCCTTTCTGTTTGTTAGATGGGATGCTGTCCTGCTCATGAACCACTGAATAAAGTAAGATCTCTAAAATTTACTCTGTTGAATTTTGTTTTTTAACACCCA